AGGTAACTGTCCCGTATGTCGTGCGCAGATGGCTTTTAGGATACGTGAGTTTGAGATCAGGTGCAAAAAACATGAGTGGAAAACCCGTAATTCACATTGATGTCGTGAGTGATGTGATATGTCCCTGGTGCTGGGTGGGAAAGAGACGCTTGGAAGAAGCTATGCGAGAGCAGAAAGGTAGGCCTATGGCTTGACCACTCCTACTCGGCGGTGGCTCGCCACTGTACATTCATGGAGGTAGAAATATTTCTACCTTTATGCATGGTGTATTGGCATTGCAGTTGTACTCGTAGTGTACATTTTGACCTAGCCCCAGACTGGCGGCAAGTCTACTGGACAAATCCATCCAAAAAGTGGAGACACTGCGAAAACGCCTTCTCCGATCCCGTATTGCGTACATGGCTCACTCAGCAAGCTCACCCATGGAGGAAGGAAAACAGTTTTCCTTCCTCCATGGCTCACCCCATCACTTTTAGATCACTGATGAATTAATGTGGGTGATTTTCCAGTTTATTTCTGTCTGGAAAATTTTTGTTTCGATTCTGTCGTCTTCACCATGTTCAAATCTTTCGTTTACTCACGTTTGTAAACACAGTCGGGATCTGTTTGATCCCCGGTGCCCCCCCCCACTAAAAAAAAGATGAATGAAAAGGCATGTTTTTGTATTCTGATGGCTATTAAGTCGCTGTAGGGAATAATTACTGACATCCGTATGTGGAACTGTCTCCCCCCCAGCTACGCCACTGCCACTACCAAGGTTATGTTTTGGCAAAACCTAACCAGAAACATGTTTGTGACATTAAAGCAAAACTTGGAAGATTCGTTCTTCATGCTCTTAATTGCACGTTGCTGCATGGCATATAGGCATGCAGAGCCTAGCCTTGGTCAAGGCGTTCATCATTCGTTACAGCGCAGCCTGCACCAGCTGCTTGCTGACCTAGTACACATGTACGTAGCTATGTACGTAGCTCTGTACGTAGCTATGTACGTAGCTCTGTACGTAGCTATGTACGTACATACCTGCATATATTGGAAAATCAAAGCAAAGAGCCACCCCACGTGGCCTAAGAAATCTGCAAATCATAATAATATACGCAGCCACGTACTAGGTCAGCGAGCAGCTGGTGTGCGCTGCGCTGCAATGAATGACGAACGCCTTTGCTATGCAGAGCCTTGAGTCGCATCAGAATTGCCTTGTTCAATCGCATGGTTGATGCATAAGCAACATACATGGCAACCACTGAACCAGCTATATATTTTTTTTTTTTTTTTCCAAGATGTATTTTTTGTGTA